GAGAGGATTTCCAGGCGATGGCAGCAGCGGTGCAGGCGAACCCGGCGGTGGTCTTGCTGGACAGCGGCTGCTCCCACCACCTGATGGGGACGAAGGAGGTCTTCGTCGACATGGGGCCGAGCGGCGACTTGAAGCACGTGCGTGGCTTCAATGGGGCGCTGCAAGACGTCCAGGGCCGGGGCACGGTTGCGTTGCAAGGCGAGGCCGGGAAGCAGGTTCTCATCCCCGACGTGCTGTACGTCCCGGGTGTGCGGGCAAACCTGTTGTCGTCTGGTCAGCTGAAGGAGCATGGCGTGAAGTTTCAAGAGGACGGCGACGGGATGCTGCTTGTCTCGGCAGCAGGAGAAGTGCTTGGTCGGGCGACGTACTCCGGGCGAGTCCTCTGCACCGACCTGCGTCCCTGCTCCCCGAGGTCGACGTCGCCCACGCCGGAGGTTGTGGCCCTGCGGGCGATCGTCTCCAAGACGAAGTCGACGCCAGACAGGATGCATGCTCGGCTTGCGCACGTCGGCATGGACACCATCAGGAGCTCGGCGAAGCACGAGGTCGCCATTGGGCTGGACCTCAAGTCGGCGACGGGCGCCGACCCACCGTGTGTCTCGTGCGTCGGCGGGAAGCTGGCGCGGCACACCTTCCCCGACCAAGGCTCCGACGCCGCCGACGTGCTAGCTGTCGTCCACATCGACCTGTGTGGGCCATTCCGCGTGGCTGCCAAGGACGGTAGCCTGTACTTCTTGCTGCTGAAGGACCGCAAGACCCGCTTCGTGTGGGTGAGGCCAGTCGCCAAGAAGTCGGACGTGCTGCTGGAGTTCCAGAAGTGGCTGGTGCTGGTGGAGAGGCAGACGAAGAAGTCGGTGCTGATGCTGCGCTCGGACCGAGGCGGGGAGTTCCTCGGGAAGACGTTCACCGACTTCGTGGACGGCAAAGGGATCGTCCACGACCTGACCTGCCCGTACACCCCGCAGCAGAATGGCATGGCGGAGCGGGAGATGCGGACGGTGGTGGAGTCGGTGAGGACGATGCTACTGCACATGGGCGTGCAGCACCACTGGTGGCACCTCGCCCTGCGGCAGGCCGTCTGGATCCGCAACTGCCTCGAGCGGTCGGCGACGCCGGGGACGACGCCATACCAGCTACTGACCGGGACGAAGCCCGACTTGTCGCTGGCGCGCGTGTGGGGCTGCATGGCGCAGTTCCTCGTCCCCGAGCAGCAGCGGGGTGGCAAGCTGAAGCCGAAGGCCAAGTGGGGCCTTCATCTCGGCGTGTCGGAGGCGAGCAAGGGCTGGGAGCTCCTCGACATCGCCGCCAACCGGGTGGTCACCACGTCGGACGTGGTGTTCTACGAGGACCTGTCGCTGGAGGAGTGGAAGTCGGCGCATGGCCCCGTGTCAGGGCGGACACTGATGGCCACGCCGACGGATACCTCGACGGCCACGCTCCCTCTGCTCGCTGAGGTCGGTGAGCTTGCTGAGGACGACGCCGAGGTCGTCCACCCTTCCTCTACCCCCCCTGCCCCTCCCCTCGTCGACCTGCGTGGGCTGACTCCGCCGTCGGCCTCCGGCGATGAGGGGAGCTGTGGGACGTCGCCTGTGGCGCCGATCAAGGGCATCGCCGGTGGCCGACAGGACGAGCGGCAAGTCGACGAACAGCAGGTCAACAAGCCGGTCGACCTGGGAGTGCAGTCGACTTGGATAAGGGGGGAGCCGGTCGAGGAGGTGCAGCCGACTAGGGTGCAGCCGACAGGGGAGCAGGCAGCAGCGAGGCCGACCAAGGAGCAGTCGGCGACCTGGCAGTCGGCAGGGGAGCTGACTGCAGGGGAGAAGTCGGTCGGGACGCCGACCGAAGTGCAGCAGGACGACGAGGATGGCGGTGAAGATGAAGGGGAGCAGTTGGGCGACGAGGAGCCGGTCGACCAGAAGGTGGTCGACCAGTCCACCGACCGGGACGTGGTGGTGGTCCCTCCTGAACCCCGGAAGTCTGGTCGACTTCGGAGGCCGCCCGACTTCTTCATCCCCGCTGCCTTCACCACGGTGTATGACGTGGAGGACGACGATGACCTGCCGTACGACGACGCTGATGAGGACGAGGAGTTTCCGGAGCTCGACCCCGACATGCTGGCCGACCCCGAGCACCGCTGGGACATCTCCACGATGTCGGTGACGGAGGCGTTGGCGAGCTGGAAGGGTCCGGCGGTGAAGGCCGCCATGGAGGAGGAGATCCGCAGTCTCATCGCCATGGGCACGTGGGAGCTGGTCGAACGCCCGCCGGGAGTGAATGTCATGAAGAACTGGTGGGTGCTGACGACGAAGTACAACATCGACGACACCGTCGAGCGGGAGAAGGCGAGGCTGGTCGTGAAGGGCTTCACGCAGGTATACGGCGCCGACTACGACGAGACGTTCGCGCCGGTGGGCAGCTACGTGACGCTGAGGATCTTCCTCAGCATCGTCGCCGTGCTCAACCTCAACCTGATGCAGCTCGACATGAAGAACGCCTTCCTGCAGAGCAAGCTCGACCGGGTGCTGTACATGTCGCAGCCGGACTACTTCAACGACGGAACCGGCCGGGTGTGCAAGCTGCTGAAGAGCCTGTACGGGCTGAAGCAGTCGCCGCTGCTATGGTACTTGGCGCTCAACGACGTGCTGGTCGACGCTGGGTGGAAGAAGAGCCAGGTCGACGAGGCCCTCTACTTCAAGGTCGCCGACGATGGAGCGACTTGCTGGGTGCTGGTCTACGTCGACGACTTGCTCGCCGCCAGCAGCAGTCCTGCGATGCTGAAGGAGCTGAAGGAGCTGCTGGAGGCCGCCTTCGAGTTGCGCGAGATCTCGCCGGTGCAGAAGTACCTCGGGCTGGAGATCGTGCGCGACAGGTCGGCGGGGAAGCTGTGGCTGCACCAGCAGGGCTACGCCGACAAGCTGCGTAGGCGCTTCATCGACGAGGAGCAGGGCGGACGGACTCCGAAGACGCCGGTCTCGGTCGACGCCTACGCCGAGCTCACCTTCGATGACGAGGAGGCGCAGGAGCGACAGGAGGAGGAGTACCGGCAGAAAGTCGGCTCGCTGCAGTTCGCGGCGACGACGACGAGGCCGGACATCGCCTTCGCCTGCAGCAAGCTGGGGAGCGGCCTCACGGTGAGGAGCGACCAGCACTGGCGCGAGGTCGACCGCTGCCTCGCCTACCTCGCCAACACGCGCGACACCGCCCTGGAGTTTGGCGGTGGACCTGAGTCGCTGGAGCTGGTCGGCTACGTGGACGCCGACGACGCCGGTGACAAGCAGAGCAGGACGAGCACGGGCGGCTACGTGTTCGTCTACGGAGGGGCCGCGGTCTCCTGGTTGAGCCAGCGCATCAAGTGCGCGACACTGTCGTCGACCGAGTCGGAGTACGTGGCGGCCGTCGAAGCCGGCAAGGAGGGACGCCGACTTCGCTTCCTCCTCGCAGAGTTCCAGCAGCTGGATGCTGGGAAGCCGACCGTCCTTCGGGTGGACAACAAGTCGGCCATCACAGTCGCCGAGGGCATGGGGTTGACGGGCAACCTCAAGCACATGGAGCAGCGACAGGCCTGGCTGCAGCACATGGTAAAGCGGGGGAAGTTTGCGCTACAGTACATCCCGACCGCTGAGCAGCCGGCCGACTTCCTCACGAAGGCGCTGCACTATCCGGCCTTCAACCGGTGCTCCGTTGCAATCGGCCAAGTGCGTCTGGCCGACGTGGGCGACGGCGACGACGAAGTGCAGCAGTAGGTGCCATGCCCTTTTGCATGGCTGGTGCGGTGGATGACGTGCTGTGTGTTGGGTGCACGTCGACGAGCTGTTCTCCGAGAGGTGCTGTCGTGTGGGCTGGGGGGGCCCAAGCGTGAACGCGGCAGGGGAGTGTCAACGGGAGTTGGGTGTTGGCCCCGTCCTCGCTTGGGCGGAGCCGACTTCCTGGTCGGGTGTAGGGGTGCAGCCGACCTGCAGTAGTGGGCGAGCCGGTCGACGGGGTTGGTCGACCTGCACGGGAGCCACTGCAAGGGCGCCGACTTCGGGAGGGCGCCAACTTCGAGTGGTCGACTTGAGAAGTCGACCTGCAGAGGGCGTCGACTTGGGGACGCCGACCTGGGGTAGCCGACTTGGGTGGTCGGCCAACAGGAGTGCTGGTCGACCTGGAGGTGGTCGACAAGGAGTGTCGTCGACCTGGAGTTGGTCGACCAGAGGTCGTGGTCGACCTGGTGAGGTCGACTGGAGGTGGCCGTCGACTTGGGAGGTCGACAGGCACGCACAGGAGCACCTGGTCGACGTGGTTGCCCGGTCGACCAGGTTACCTGGGTGACGAGGGTCTGCGAAGGCACGCGAAGGTCGCCCAGGCGAGGTTGGCAAGGACGACCTCGGTGGTGGTATCCCGAGGTCGACCTGGCAGATGAGATGCGGTCGTCAGCACAAGGTGGACTTGGTGCGTACGCTGTGCAGGTGACGAAGCAGTGCGCGCCAATCATCTACGAGCACCTGCGAAGCTGGTGCGATGCTGGACTGCAGGAGCAACGCTGGCACGCCGTCGACTTGCGCTGTTGTCACGCCGTCGACCTGCAGCGTTGGCAAGCCGCGTCCCTGCACTGCTGGAGCGCGATCGACCAAGTCGTGCTGGCACGCGGTCGACCGTGCCGCGCTGGCAGTCGACCTGCTTGCATCCTAGCTCTGATGTAGTCTTTCCTAGCCAACTTCATTGCATTATTGTTGTCAACTTTCTTTAGTGAAACTCTTGCCAAATTGCCTTGTAAACTAGCAAGCAGTGTGTGCACTAGGAAAACGACTAAGGACCAACGAACGCAGAGATCACACGAGCATCCGTGCCTAGCCCGTAGTCTAGCTCCCGTTACTAGAGTTATCTCCGCATACTTCCCGGCGCAAGCTGGTACACGAGGTGCTTTCGTCAGGGACTGTTTCATCCCTTTCATGGACCGGCTTCCTGTGGTAGCACACACAGCAGTGATGGGGGATTTCAACTTAGTGGAGGACCCGGAAATGGATAAAACATCACGGCTCGGAACAGTTGCTGAAAATCAGAGACTGGTCAATGGGTGTGCAAAACTCGACCTGCAGGACGCGTTTCGGACGCTGTATCCAGTGAAAAAGGAGTATACCTTCTACTCGCGATCGGCGAGAGTCAGCTCGAGGATTGATAGAGCGCTGGTGTCGTCCTCTCTGTTCAGCGCCGTCGGTGCGGCCTTCCACTCGTACATCCCAAAAGGGATCACGGACCACTGGTTTGCAGTCTCGGTGAAGTTGGCGTCCTACGCGGACAGAGAGAAAGGCCCTGGTCTGTGGAGACTGCCGGCGAAGCTCGCGGGAAGCAAGGGTGTAAGGAACATCACGCAAGCGGTCACGCAGCAGCAGGATGGGAAGGCGGAGGATTTCCCGTTGACGCTGAAAAGGCTGCAGGCGGGGCTCAAGGAATATGCAAAAGGGGAAAGGAAGAGGGTGGCTCGTACGGTCGAACACCTGGAGGAGAAGGCAGCGGCGTTGAAACAAGCTTACATGAGTGATGCGGGAGATGCAAGCCTGCAGGAGCAACTTGCAAAATGCGAGGCGCAGTTGAAGTCCTATTGGGATGGGAAGCAAGAGTGGCTGCAAACCCTGGCTGGTATTAAAGGGGAGTTGGATGGAGAGATTGCCTCGAAGCTTCTCTCTGGAAGGGTTGCGTCCCGGAAAGCGAAAACGGAGATCCCGGCTTTATCTGTGGGAGGGAAAGCTGTCAAGGGAGCAAAAGAGATATTGGAGGCAGCGTCGGATTTCTTCCGCGACCTTTTCGGGAAGGCCAGGGAGGTGTCCGGCGAGTTGTGGCTGACCGATAAGAGCAAGCGGCTGAATGGGAAAGACCAGGAAATGCTGCAGGCGACGTGGACGGAAGCAGAAGTAAGAAAGGCGATAGCGGAGCTGCCAAAAGGAAAAACCCCGGGAAGTGATGGGCTACCAAGGGAGATTTTTGCGAAGAATTGGGATCTACTGGGGCCAGGGCTGATGGATTTCCTCCACTCCTTCGAGAGATCGGCGCGCCTTCCAGAGAGTTTAACAACGGCAGTCACGATCCTGCTGCACAAGAAGGGTGACTAGGAGACTTTGGGGAATTACAGGCCCATCACTTTACTGAATACGGTGTACAAGATCGTTGCGAAGGTTCTGGCTAACAGGATGAAGGGAGTGTTGCCGAAAGTAAGCTCGGAAGACCAGCATGGTTTTATACCTGGGCGGAAACTATCGGATGCGGTGGCGGCTGTAGCAGACGTAATCGACGCGGCGGCAACCGGGAAGGAAGATTGGTACCTTCTTCTTGTTGATTTTCAGAAGGCGTATGATTCAGTGTCGAGGCGCTACCTGTTCAGTACCCTGAGGGAGATGGGTTTCCCGGAGATCTTTGTAAGATGGGCAGAGGGACTCCACGAGGAAGCCGGCACCAGGCTCCTGATCAACGGCTGGCTTGGAGAGAGGCTGGGGGTAGAGGTCGGCGTGAGGCAGGGTTGCCCGCTTGCGCCGTATCTTTTCCTCTGCGCTGTGGAACCCTTATGTCAGGAAATACAAAGGAGGAATCTGGGTATCAGGAAGCGTGGGAAAGGAGAGCTCGCGTACCTGGGGTATGCAGACGACACCACCTTGGCACTGAATGGGCTTGAGCAGGTGTCGAAAGCGGAAGAAGTGCTGAGAGATTTCGGGGAGGTGTCGGGCCTGCAAATCAATCAGGACAAGACGGTGTTAATGCCGCTAGGGAGAAACAGGAGGAGGAAACTTCAAGAGATACCCCCTTTCAAAGTGGCGGTGCCAAATCAACCGGAGCGTCTACTGGGGGTCTGGATTACCCCGAATGGAGAGGCGGGACCGGCCTGGGACAAGGCCTTCGAGAGGATTAGCGGCTCGCTCACAAGATGGGCCGCGCAGTACCTCACGACGACGGCAAGGGTTGCGGTGCTAAACTCGTACGTGATGCCGGTGCTGCTCTTCCAAGCATAGGTGTACCCGCCACCGATAGATTTCTGGACGAGAGTGCAAAGATTGTGTCACAATTTCGTCTCCGGGGGGAAAGCGTCGCTGGATCGCCGGTTCGTCCAGTGGAGATATGAGCTGACGTGCAGAAGGAGGAGAGAAGGGGGGTGGGGGTGATTAACCCGAGAGACCGAATCGACAGCATGGCGCTACAAGCAATAAGTAAAGCCATTGCGGAGAGGAGCGAAATAAAAAGGTGGATGATGGAGCAGGCAGCGGAAATGCCACTGGGCTGGGCTACGCTATGGGCGCACAAGGACATCATAAAGCATTGGAAGGGAGGCGGTGAGCGGTGGAAAGCTGCCCTGCATATCCTCTGGAAGAGGAAGCTCCCGCTGTTCGGAGAGCCGGAAACCAGATGGGAAGCAGAGCAGGAGCATCTGTGGTTTAACAACCGAATACTCTTCCGGGGGAGAAGCCCGTTCGGCGCGCAGCGAGGCTCCGAGTGCCTGAAGGGTATGAAGCTGTGTGACCTGCTCATCAGGAATCCAGACGGCACAGTTGCGGTTAAGGATCTGCAACGGCTCAGCAGGGAACTGGGGGGAAAAATCCTGGCCCGCTGGACGCTCAAAGCTTTCCTGGCGGCACCAAAGGTGTCAGTGATAACGGACTGGAATGGTGAACTAGAAAGGATTGTGAGTACAAATATGAAACCCTAATGTTGTGACCCCCCTATAGGCTAACCCACTACAGCCTACACAAACACAACATATATAATGTTTGACACACCCCCATAGGCAAAGTGGGGGAGGCCTAGGGGTCACAAGACCAGTCAAGGCAAAGCAAGGCAACAACAAGCTCAGGGTGGATCTCAAGGATACCACACAAATTCCGAGCACAAGCTAGTGGTCACAAGACCAGTTCACATGCAGGTTTATAACAGAGCATGAGATACAGTGATCACAACCTAGCAAGAGTAAACTGTCAGAGGTCCACTGGAAATCCCCGATGATCCTAGGGAAGGGTTACAGGCCCGTTGGCCTGGGGGGTTATGGGCGCACTCACCCGCTATATAAACAAGCCCTTTTATCCCAGTGGTTAGTGGCTGGGATTCTGACATGCTATCAGAGCAGGTCGACCCTCCTGGGTCGATCCTGTGGGTGGGCCCGCCACCTAATGCTTCCGCTGCTGTCCTGCTTATCGCGCGCCTCGGGCGCGCGACGTTTTCTGCCTACTGCGCGCTCGCAAGGCGCGGCGTTTTTAGGGTTTCGGCGGTTTTCTGCCCGCCGTGCGCCCCGAGGCGCGCGGCGGTTTCCCACCGTCGAAGTGCCCCCCGTCGCCCGTCGAAGCGCCCTCCCCCCGTCGCCCGTCGAAGCGCCCCCGTCGCCCGTCGGAGCGCCCCCCGTCGCCCGCCAAAACGCCCCCGTCGCCCGTACGGCCTGCGCCAGGCCCGCGCGCGGCCCGTACGGGCTGCGCCAGGCCAGCGCGCGGCGCGGGCAGCCTGCGCGCGCCTCGTCCGTCCCCCTCTCGCCGTCCCCCGCGCTCCTGCCCCTATCCCACCCGTTTTAGGGTTTGGGGATGTGGAGTGTGGGGGTGGCGGGTGTGGGGGTGCCGGTTGTGTGCCCCGTCCCCTCCTTCTCCTCCTCCTCCGTCTCCCGCTGCTGCAGCTGCCGCTCAGGGGGGTGGTTGTGTGGGGAGCCGAAGGAGTGGTCCTAGGGGGGTGAAGGGGGAGTGGAGCTAGGGGCGCAGCAGGGGGTGTGTGTCGAGGGGTGTGGGACTGTTGGGGGAGGTTGAGTAGAGGTTGCCGTCGTGTCGTACGCAGCGCCTGTACTCCGGGGCACTCATTCCCGGTAGCTCAGAGAGCCGGTTGCGCCGTCGCCTGTGGGTCCGTTGCTCCTGCCGCGCATATTAGCCGCGGAGCCTGTTACTCCTGTACTCCGGGGCACTCATTCCCGGTAGCCACGTTGTCGCACCAGAGCCGTCTGTTGCCCGTGTGTCTGCATCTTCAGTCGTCGCCTCCTATCTACTCTCCTCTCACCAGCCCTCCTCCTCCTCACTTGCCCCCTGTGACTGCCTCTAGCTTTGCTCATAATTGTGAACCTTAAACTATTGCTTCTTGCTTGTGCTCAGAATGTGTGGTGACATCGTGATCCACCCTGAGCTTGTACTGCTTTGCTTGCTCTGCTGATTACACCCCACTTTGACTATGGGGGTGTGTCAGAATATTATGCTCTAGCCTGCAGTGGGGTGCTCTATAGCGAGTACAACCCTTCTAGGGTTAGCTATTTGTACCACCATTGTTGCTAGTGCAAACCCTCCTTTCTTCATTCTTACTTTCTACAGCTAGTTCTGACATGGTATCAGAGCGAAGGTCTCGGGTTCGATTCCCGGTGTGTGCACTTCGGGCATCCCAGTGCGGGGGGGTGTCAGAGGTCCACTGGAGATCCCCGATGATCCTAGGGAAGGGTTACAGGCCCGTTGGCCTGGGGGGTTATGGGCGCACTCACCCGCTATATAAACAAGCCCTTTTATCCCAGTGGTTAGTGGCTGGGATTCTGACATAAACATGCAGGTAGATATATATAGTGATCACAGTACAAGCAAGGTCAAGAGGTAAGTAAGTGAGGTCCAGTAGGCACAAGGCCTAGCAGAGTGCAGAAGCGCTGATGGTCACAAGGCGGAAGCGCCTTGGTGAACACATCAGCAAGGTTGGCCTCAGTGGCCACGTAACGCAGACAAAGCTGACCGCGCTGCTGCAGCTCTCGAGCAAGGAAGTACCGCAGGGCGATGTGCTTCGTTCTGTGCTCCAGTCTGTGCTCCTCACACAAGGCAATGGTAGCCTGGTTGTCGACGTACAGCACTGGAGGAGAACGAGGCCGCTCTCCCAAGTCGGTCAGCAGGTAGGTCAGCCAGCGTAGCTCCTGGGCAGCCATGGCTGTGGCGTAGATCTCAGCCTCACAACTGGAGTTGAGAACAGAAGAAGAGCGTGTAGAACGCCAAGAAACTGAGCCGGAGCCAAGGCTGAAGGTGTAACCCTGAGACGACCGCTGAGTAGCCTGGTCGTCCGCCCAAGAAGCGTCTGAGTGTCCAGTAAGTACAACTCGGTCTCGCCCTCCAAGCACTAGCCCCATGCCCGACGTACTGCACAAGTAGCGCAACACCCTCTTAGCGGCATCCATGTGCTCCTTCCTGTGACGGCCAGGAGCGACATAGCGTGCAAGGATGCTAAGAGGGTATGCAAGGTCAGGTCGAGTGCAGGTCATCAGGTACATGAGGCAGCCCACAAGCTCTGGATACGGGCCACTCGGCTCTACGGACTCATCCGAAGGCAGAGCTGAGAGCGAGTGACCGGTAGGCAGAGGAGTGGACTGAGGCGAGGAGTACGTGAAGCGGAAGCGCTGAAGGATCTGCTGCACCATATGTGACTGAGTCAAGGTGATGGTGCGCCGTGCTCTGTCCCGGGTGATCCGCAAGCCAAGATAGCTTGTCAGTTCACCCAGGTCTGTGCACGTGTGTCTCCTCTGCAGCTCCGACTTCACGTGGGCAAGTGCCGCGGTGTCAGCAGTGGCAAAGACCAAGTCGTCGACGTACACGAGGATGTAGAACTGCGGCACTGAAGTGTCTGTGCGTAGAAACAGTGACGGGTCAGCAGTAGAGGGAGCGAACCCAAGAGCCGCAAGTGTCGTCCTCAGTGTGTCGTGCCACTCACGCGGTGCCTGGCGGAGACCGTAGACCGGCCGCTGAAGCCTCCACTGGGTACCAGGAGGAACCGACCCAGTGAAGCCAGGAGGGCGGCGCAGCCAGATCTCCTCGTGCAGGCTGCCCTGCAAGAAAGCAGTGCTGAAGTCAAGTGAGTGAAGCTCGTAGTCGCGCTGAGCGGCTATGTGCAGCAGCACCCGAAGAGTGGTCATCTTCGGGGTGGGGGAGAAGGTCTGAAAGAAGTCAACTCCCTCTCGCTGACTGAAGCCTCGAGCCACGTAGCGCGCCTTGAAGACAGGAGGAGAACCCGGTGGCCGCTTCACCCTGAAAATCCACATGCCACTGACGATGTTCGCCCCAGGTGGGGGAACCTCGTCGACGTAGGTGCGTGTGGACTTCCAGGAAGCCATCTCTGCGTCCATGGCTGTCTGCCACTG